ACTACTACTAAATAAATTTATTATATATATATATATATATATATATATATATATATCAATATGGTTTATATATATTAATCAATGAATCTTAAATAAATCATTTTTATTTAAATAATAAAAAATTCATTTGGATTATACCTATTAAAAGATTAACTTGCATCTGATATAAGGCTTCAATGTTAAGAATCCAAATTAATACAAGACTTACTGCCAACCAAGGTATACCATGACATGATATCTATAAAAAGAAGCAATAAATATTTAAAAAATTTACTTTTAGTAAAGACTTTTAATAAAGACTTTATATTAATAAAGACTTTTAATAAATAGAAAACCTAATAGTTATACCTCCAATAATTTATAATGTACTTTTAACTGTTTTAAGGGCAAGATCTTTTCTGTTAATTTGACGAACTCATCTGTCAAATAAGCATCCACTGCCAATACTTTCCGCAACTGCGTTGGGATCTGTCTCTTATCAGACTTGAAAACAAAATGATTATTATTATTTATATTTTCTTTCGTCTTATCAAATCTTATTAAGAAAAGAGGAAGTAATATTTAAATAAATCCATATTGTTCACTTAAGTAATAAATAACAAATGTATATTTATACGAAAAAGTAGATATAGTAGCTATAGTAGATATAGTAGATATAGTAAAAAAGTATAAATAGTAGTTATTTAAATAATAAACACATAACATTCAGCATAGCAACAAATATCAAGATAAAGATAATTGATTAAGCATATAAATAATAAGTTATAAAGAATTGAATAATTACCGTTTCCATATTGTCTTCAAATTATAACAGTTGTTGAAGTAACAAAACGTATCGAGAGTCACGAATCAATTGCTGATAAGTCACATTATCTATAATATTAAATAACAAAGAAGGAAGACGGCGTTAAGTACCGTTAAGTATCGCAAACAGCTGATTCACAATATAGATAAAATATGTTCGCACGAATAAGTAATGCCAACAATGGACAGATGGCGCGCATTGATAAATATATATCGATTTTCCAGTCGTCTACTTACTTTCTACCAGTTTCTACTTTACCAATAAATAAAAATAGCTGATTATATTAAGCTTACTAAAGAATTAAAAAAGGTAAATGTTAATATAAATGATAAAAGTTATACTTCTTTGGAGAATTATTAATAACTAAATATGTGGCTCATATTAAAATATAAATAAAAAGGATGAAAAGACCAATAAACGAACAAAATAAAATGTCTAATTATTAAAATATTATTAAAATATTTCGTTCTTTAATAGTATGCGATGATGTTTCAATTTTATCGAATCTTTTTTAGTTGCTGATACATAAACTTAATAAATAAATACAATAAATCAATAGACAATAATAAAAATGTTGAGGTATGTAATAATAAAGAAGTTGAAAAGTCAAATAAATAACTATCACTATTAATTATCATTATCACGTTATTTTACTAACATATTTTTATATGCCTCAACTTTCCTATTATTATTTATTGACTTGTTATTTTTATTAGATTTTTATTAGCGGTAAAGAAGATTCAATAAAAATACCATTTTATTAAAGTGTATTACATACATATATTTTAACATATATTTTAATAATTAGACATTTTATTTTTCTTGTTTTTTTCTTCTCTTTTTATTCTTATCTCTTATCCCTTTTCATTTTTATTTAATTATTAATAACATAATAAAACAGTATCCAAATCATTTACTCTCTGAATGTTTGTGTTTTGCCGAATTGTTAACACAGAAAAAATTCAAATGTATTTGTATTTTTATAATATTTTTATAATTTTTCATTTCCATTATTAAATTAATGATATTACAAGATAAATATTATTAAAATTTTAAGAACATTTAAAAGTTCAATTATAAAGAGATCGGATCTGTAAAAATAAAAATTTCCGAAAATCAGCAAAAAATTGGAATAATCTCTGGTGGAAATAAAAATCGGATCATAAATCTAAAGCGTAAGGAAAGAATATGAATAAAAGAAGTGTGAAATATTGAAACATAAGACAAAATTATAGGAGATAAATATTTATGTTTCAATATCTTAATTTATATTTAATAGAAACTTTGTTCACGCTTCTATCACTTTTCTCTAATGCTACATTTATGCTCCAAATTTTTATTTTCGCCAAGAATACGGGAAGTGATATAAATTGAACCTCCGAGCAATATATAATTTTTCGAAAATTTTATTTATTGTAAATTCTCTTTCGTCGTCTACATCTTAGTATGGACAAGATTATGGCGATTACGCCAATACAACATAGTAGTTACGATGCATGAATATGCCCTGTCTCGAAAATGATGTTCATAATTGGTGCAACTTGATGTGTCAAGGCATTCGTGATGCCGGTTCTACATATCACACAGAAGAAAGACGATGATCACAGCTGTCGTTGAGGTGTGCGTGAGCTTGCCGAAGACTCGTCGATATATAGATAGTTACATATTTTCCGATTACGAAAATACATCGAAGAAATTTTTTGAAACTTATTTACAATCTTGCAAAATTACAATCTAATATATTTATTTGTATTTCTAATAAGTTCATGTATTATAATTTCTTATAAATTCTGTAAAGTTAAAACGATCTTTATTAATTTCCTTCGGAGGTATTATATGAAGGTCTGAAAATCATAGTAGTGTAAGTCAGTATAATCTGATTGTTAGAAATAACAGTGTTTTATGTTTATTAGATTTATTAAAAATTTATTACATTTATTAAATTATTACATTTATTAAATTATTTAAAATTTATTACATTTATTAAAAATTTAATATTTTTTTGATTACCTTAAATATACATCAGTAAATATACACTAAAATTATAAAACTAAATAGAAGATGGTCAGAGAAGAGAAATGTGTGAGAAATTTATATTTCAAAATTTCTGACTTACATCGCTATGATTGATCCCTCATATATATATATATATATATATATAGATATTTATAAGAAATATATATATATATATATATAGATATTTATAAGAAATTATGAATGCGTTAAAAAAATAAGTCACATGAATAAGAATCGCTCGTTGTACTATCAGTTTGAGAAGATGCACATCTACTTATTCCAATTCACTGAATACCTGTAGAAAAGTTTACATCAGAATAGCATTTTTTTAAAAATATATATATTTTTTTTAAGCTTAAAATAGCTTTGTTATGTTGTTGATATGCATGCAAATAAATTTAGAAAATACTATCTTGCTTCTGATATATACGTTTCTAAAATTTGAAACATCGTCCATTTGAAACATCGTATTTGTATTATATTAATTTGCGACAAGAAGATTGATAATAATTTCTTAACAAATCATTGCTAGTTAAGTTAAATTGATTGTAATTACTTTCATTTGATTACGTGAGCTTAAAATATGCTGTGCGAGAAATATAGAAAATAGAAATTGCTTTATTAAGCGTGTTAGTCCGGGCATGTGCTATGGCGATTCAGTATTTTTCCACCGTAGTTTGTGCGAATTGATCCTGAAATTTAATTCTGTATAAATATTAATCTTCATTTTAAAACGTTTCAAACATTGCTTGGCTAGAGAGCAGAACTCAATGGATAGCGGGATATAAAAGCGTCGCGATAAATGGGAGCACTATTAAACCCGCATAAAGGGATGTATTCGGAGAAGATCGACTGACTGCGAATCTTCTTAGAAAAAGGTTTTTTTCGACGTCGCATGAGAATAGTAAGAGTCATTGGACGTGATCATTGCGCGTTGCGTATAACCTGTTGACAAGCGATATATCCGTTTATATGTTTTTTAAAACAATCGATACACTAATTCTATTTAATTATATCAATATATATAT